CCCCCAAACCCAACAGAGCTGCCAAGGATGGGCAGCAGTGTGGTTGCTGCAGCCTTCCTCCCTGGGCCCCTCTGGATAGGCAAGGTGCAGGGGGGAAGCTGGCCGGCACTCAGCAGCAGGTGTTGCCGAGGAGCCCATGGGAGAAGCAGCGAGCCACGTCTGCCACTGTCAGCTCCTTGGCCGGCTGCAGCGTGGTGGGCTGTAGCAGGGTCCCCCAAGCTGGGGCCAGAGGCCTTTGCCCCGGGCTGGTCATGCTGGCAGCTCTGGAAGGGCATCCTGCTGCCGAGGGCCTGGGAGCAGCATGAGCACCAGCCCCAACGGCTGCCCTCTGCCGCTGCGGCTTCTCTGATGAAACCCAGCCGCCTAATGCATGTAACCTATTATAACTGTAATTGTGACTAATTGAAATTCATCTCCTATTAGCTCTGCACTTTCCATGAAAATAAAAAGTAGGATGGAAGTAAAGTAAGGAACAAAACTGCTTTAATGGCCCAAAATGGAGCAATTATTTTTTCTCTTTACCTAAACATAGTTTACTGCCTTATTAAAAGCATGTTTGTAGGAATACTAACGCATTAAAATTCCAGTGCATGAATCACCAACCGGAGCCACTGATGCTTTAGCTAATACTGGTTTTCTCCTTTAGCTTTTGCAAATGAAAAAGATTTAGGTCATGCTAGGGTCACTGAAATCTTGTGCTTCCACTTGTGGAAAATGAATGATCCTGCTCTGCAGCAGAACGCTGACATTCTAGTAATAAATGATAAAACTACTCTAACAATCTTTATTTATGGCTGCTTTTTTCCATGGAAGATTATTATGTTTACTCACAGATAGATACATTTTCATGTAGTTAAATAATAAAAGCATCCTGAGGAACTGCTATCTGTCCAGTGAACATAATTTCAGTCCATAATGAATATCTGTAGTTCCTAGACTACTAGCACTGTAATCTAAAAAGCCACTAATATTGTAATAAGCAGAAACAGTAAATTGTTGATTTACAGGAGGTCAGTAAAGGAGCATTGCTTTCCTTGATCTAATGCAGTTGTATTTAATATTACCATATAAAACAGAATTTTAATTTTCCTTGAGAAATGCAGGGCTTGAGTCTGATCTCGTATATAGAGAGATGCCAACATATAATGTAATAATGGAACTTCCCTCCAAAGAGGCTGCTTCTGCCCGATGATGAGGATCTCTCAGTTGCCCAGACTTGCTTCCCTTAGAGTCAGAATAAAACTTTGCTAAGCTGTGCTTTTGGTAAGCACTTCTCATTCCGCTTTCCCAGCCACTGCATCCTCTTCAGCTGCTTGTGTTTCTCACCACTTGCTATTTGAAAATGTGTAGATGTAATGTAAAGCTGTCAGCAATCACATACCACAATCTTACCTGCACTATTAGAACATTAGATTACTAAAAATGAATGTGTCAAAGTTTGTATTTCACCTGCAAACTTGCATTGCACCCTACTGCAGCGGTGAAAAAAACAGATCAGTCACAAGTCTTCCTTCTTTTTTGCCTCTCCCATGAGAACAGTACTGCCAACAGATAGGTGTCCTGGCAGGCACAAGCAGCAGAAAGGGTTCTTCTGGCTTGGAAAGTCAGCGTGGCAATGTACACATTGGATGGAATTCCCATTATCACACATTATATGTATTCTGTATTATATTTATTAAAGTAGTAAGACTCCCTCGTTATGATTTCAGATGAATAGATTTGCAGGTAAAATTGTTCTGTCCCTCTGATCATTGAAGCGAACAGTAAAAACATGCTTGCCATCATTTCCAAGCATGTATAATCACAGGGCAATTCTTTTCTCTGGCAGTTATGAGGAGATGCTTATTTGGCAGCTACAAGTAGTCAGATGGATATGGACAAGTAAAATAACCTTGTAGTCAAAGGGGAGTGATAAAACATTGGTTAACAATTTTTATCATTAATATTCTTGTGAGCTAGGGCTTGTGAATACTCTGTTTAGTATTGCTCTGTGTCTCATGCAGTAAATGTGGTCCCAGTGAAATCAGTTTAGCCTATGAAACAGCAAAATTTAGGTTGTAAGGGATGCTGTCACTTGTAGTGAGATGTAAATGCCAATGCCGAAATAAACATGCAAGTTAGTTATGCATGAGGCACTCCCGTACCTGCTCATCACTGCTTACTGCAGTGCCATGTAGGAAAACAAATGCTGCCCAAAGTCAAGATCAAGCCAGTTATGTAGGAAAGTCTCTGTTTGTCCAAATTCTGATTGCAGTTACTGCTATGTAGTCTGAAGGGAGCCAGTGCCAGCTGCTGTTTGTGTCAATTAAAGGCCATTCCTGAAACACTTCATGTGTTTCAACACTGATTTCTCTTTAGTACATTCCACCCTATACTTTTCCTTCAATGCCAGACTACAAGTTATTTTTGTAGAGCTCATAGAGAAACTACTGCCATATCATCAGTCTTCTCATACAAGGCCCTGCATTCTCTGTGTTATCCCTCAGCTTCAATCTGAGACTGGACAAGCCCAGGGTGGCCTGACATTTGTGCACTAGCTTCTTCTGGTTTACACCTTACCTGGAAAATGGACACTTGGGGGGTGTTAGCTTTTCTGCAGTTTCCTTTCTCCCAGCTCCATGCTGGAGTGTATGATGTCCTCTGTTGCAAGGATTTACATGTTCGCTTGTGTAGCTATGGCTCAGTTATTTCCTATTTCTGCCAGGGATTTCCCAAAAAGCAATAAATGCACCTGCTGACCAGCAGCACTGCCCAGGTATGGGACATTAAATGTAACGGGAACGTGCATTTGATGTATCCTTGTACTGACAGATCAGATTCTGAGCGCACTGAAACATCCATCAGACTTAATGTGTAGGAGCTGATGTCTTACTGAAAGCCTGTTAAAATTCACAGGCTGAGTGTTCCTCCATCTACCTTGGCCTTGAAGCTTGAGCTGGGTGCTGGGGCGGTTGAACACAGCACAGACACAGAGCTGGTGGTTTTGTGCAATCGTTCTGCTGCGTGCACGGAGGAGCCCACAAGGCTGGGCTTGGTCCTCCTTTGCTCGGGCAGGAGCTTGGTTGTGGCCCTCATAGCCACCAGGAAAGGAGTTCCCAGTCTGTCCTGTGAGAGCTGTGCCATTTTCCATGAATTACTTGAAGGCTTCGTGGATCACAGAGTAGAAAAAAGGTTCCTATTCCAAGCAGGGAGACAGAGGGAACAGGGAGCAGAGGAGCACGTTTCAGTCTCTGCTCAGAGGAATGTTTGTGTTTTATATTAAACCATCCTTAAATAAAGCGCACAGATGCTCCAATGCATCCCGGCTCTGCCTCCCCCTTTGCCAGGAGGGCTTTAGCCATTAGGCTGGAGTGTCACATCATGCTCACACAGAACCTGCTTCCCCCTCATCCTCACATGTTTGCTCTCAGCTTTAACTGTGCAGTTTGAAGTGGCACCGCTTCAATAAGAGATTTTGCAAGATCCTACAGTACAGCCTGCGGCTTTGTAGATAAGGGCACTCCCTGGAAGGTGGGAGCTGTGGATCAGAGCTCCCTTCACCCAGTGGGGTGGAAAGATGGAGCTGGTTTAAATAGCGATTTCTGCTCTAGTGACAATGCACTGCAAATATCCAAACGCTGTTTTCATACCGACTGATCTGTCTCAAGCTTGCTGGTTTCTGGGCAGCGTGCAAGGACGGAGGCTGGCTGGTTTGGAGCACGTACTTGAGGCATTTAGGTTTGGGGCTTTCTCTGATGTGCATGGGAGGGAGGCAGCTGTCTTCAAAGAGCAGCACAGAGCTGCCAGCCGCTCCTTGTCAGCCCATCGGCTGCCTGTGCCCCTCAGTGGGGCAGTTGGGTGAGACAAGACGGCAGATAGGAAGCAGCAGGCACAGGGGTACGTCTGCAGGGGCGACTCCATTGTCTGGAGATTAGGCTTTTGCAGAAGGAAGCAGCAGCGCTGGTGACCTCCCATATTGCACAATGGCTTGTTTTCTGTAACTTCATCAGGGCCCAGTTTGTGGGTTTTTTCTGCATGATGTATCTAATTTTCTCCTGTCCCCCTCCCCAACAAGTCCTTTGAATGAGGAAAATTGAGGAGGGAGGGGAGAACAAAATAAAAAAACGTGGGGTTTTATTTCCCCTAGAGGATTTTCAATCAAAATAATTTCAAATTATGGGGTCAGAATGAATGTCATACTTCTGTGTTAAGTACTTGCCTACTTTGTGGGATGTTTTGTGCAGATTCTTCACTAAATTATCTTAGCTACTGTTGCTAGGTAACATTGTTTGCTTCATAGCATCAGAGAAATAAGAGGGTCAAAGAGAGCAATTTCGTGTTATTATCATCTGAGTTATACTAATAAGGTTTTCATTGTACGTCTTAGAAATTTTTTCCTTTTTTCTTTTTTTTTTCTCCCCCTTAGGGAACGTTATTGTCTATGGGAATACAATTGACATTTACACCACGGTAGAAACCCTCTTATCTCTTGGAATTAATGGTTCTCGCATACATCTCGTACAGCCTCCACTCAGCTCAAATGTTACTTGCCTTAACAACAACGAAATCGAAAGTGCTGTTCAGGAGGCACTGTCAAAGGCTGGCGTATCTGTTTATTATGACAGTATCCTGGCACAGTGGAATGAAGGCGACGACCCAGACCTTATCACATGTGCTACTTTCACTACTAATACAAAACCATTTAAATTGCAGTGTTCAGTAAGTATATGCTTTTATTGTGTTTCCTTCAGTCTGTTTTTTAAGAGAAAGACCATCAAATTTTGATAGTACCTTGTTGGTTTATCTATTTTCTCATTGTCTCTAGAAGATGGAACATTCACTTGTTAGTCTAAAGAATTGTTTTTTTAAAATCCAAATAAAACCATTGTTAATACCCTGAATGATTTGGATTAAAATGTATTTAAGTCACCTGACTCACAAGTAGTTGTTCGCTGCTGAATGACAAATACTCTTAATTCATTTTCTAAATAATTCCAGAAATCCTCTTATTATTTAAATACATTCAGTAACTCCTGTCTATAGTTATGTGCATTTGGTTAAGTCATCGTAGAAGCCATGTTAGGATAGAGAGGCTTACTATGTAACTTAATTAAAATATATTTTAAACAGATTTTTCTCCCTCTACATTAATGACTGGATTTTTGTTCTTCTATAGTATCGATATCTCAGTAAATTAAACGCACACTCACAGGTATGGCCCCACTGTGAAGTTTGTGACAGGTTGTAGCCTTTCCTAATGGGCAGAATAATTCTGTTTTTCTTTATGGGGCTAATCCATGTGCGTGAGCACTTCTGATAGTCACTTCAAAACATGCATCCATAGGAAGCCGTATGGCCCCCTCAACACACCCTGCTGCGGGCACGCTGCTCTGTGCAGCAAGTCTGTTGTAATTCTGGAAAGGAAGAGCCGTGTGCCTCCCCTGGAGAGCTCCTCAGGAGTTGGTGGTGCCCGCCGGCTCCCCTGCAATGGAAAGCTCTAAGCCATTGGGTTTTCTCTACTGTTTTCTTTTTAACATATGGATAGTTAAGCCCTTCCTGATGGAGGTGAAGACCTTGCATAGCACTTTTATCCACTAGCAGTCTCCTGACTTTGGTCCCTGTATCAATGGTGGTGTTCTTCCCACTCTCTCCTTATATGCAGCTCTTCAGTTTCTCTCCTCTTTTTGAGCTCCCTCTATTTTTATCCTTCTTCCACAGAGATCTCAATGTGGTTCTTGTAACTTACTATCTGTTCACCACTTCCCCATCAGCCCCCCCTCTTTTCCCCACCACCTTGCCTGTGTGGCAGGTGCCATTCCTTCAAGACCCCCATTTCCTCATGGTTTGTTTCTCTTGCACTTTTGTGCCCCATGTCCTTCCTTCCTCCAGCCATGGTCCTTCACTCTCAAGGTCCCACTTACCCAGCCTCTAAGATGAGAGATGTGCAATTACTTCTGATGTCAGAGGCTTTATATTCTCCAAAAGTGGTTCAGCTGTCCTATGTGGCTCCTCTATCTGCTTTTAGCCACCTGGGAGGATGGGCTCAGAGGAGGACAGGGCTCCGGGGAGCAGCCTCCGCCAGGAAGGCAGCTGCATTCGCCAAGGGATCAGGCTGTGCAGGAATCGGCCCTGCAGCAGCTCTGTGCCTTTTGGGATTTGAGCCAATATCAACTGTTGATTGGCAGTTCTTGGGGGCTTAATTTGTTGAG